GAAAATTAATCGATAAGCTTCTTTCTGAGGTCACCTCTGATGCTGCGAATCTCAAACTAGATGGGTTCTACAATCTCTTGATTTCTCTGCCTAATCAAGCTCGGCTCTTCTATGACGACCTTTATAGAGTCGTCAATCTCTATCTTCAAGTATCGTAACCTGAGCGCGAGAGGAGCACTAGCAATTTGAGTCTTTTTAGGGTTTTTCTTGGGTATTTTTATTTGTAATAATTAAAATTTTCTCTTTGTTATTGGGAAATCTTTGTAGCTTTGAATGGGGGGGGGGGGGGGGGTAAGCTTTTATTATTGGAAATTCGGCAATTCTACAAGTTGCAGAGAAGCACTAGCAATCATGAAGAAGAAAAGGGTTATGCTCTTTTTTTCACATATATTAATTTTGATATTTTTAATAGGAAAGAAATTAAATTCTAATAATAATTTATTGTTAGTCCAGCTTCTTGACACAGTTCCAAATGCATCATTAAGTTAATCCAGCTTAGTCTAATCTAAGCCAATCTAGGTTAGTCCCTAGACCTAGTACAATCTGAGATAATCCGGTGAAACAAAGAATCCAAAAAAAAAGTTTAAAGCCAAATTTACCCTCTTATTAAATGACATCTAAGGATCCAAAAAAAAAAAAAAAGGAAAACTAATGAAAATAACTTGAAAACTTCAAGTTTTAACAATAAGGACATAATACAAGATAAAGTGAATAGTACCAGGATTGACTTTTTAGTGTAAAATTGTGGTTTTTCGTTAAAGTGAACTGTACTGGGAGCTTTTTTTTAAAGTTCCCCAAAAAAAAGATTGAAAGGATTTTCTGTTCACCATCTCTCTACAACTCTCAATTCCTTCGAATAAGTATTTTCTTCATTTTCTATTTTGTCTAGTTTGGCCATATATAATCGTTGTTTAAAACATTTTACTAATAAAATAATTATTTAAAATTTGAAAAACGAAATGGGAGACCAGAAGAAGGAATTAGAGTTTGAGTAGTGGGATTGGGTTATCACAATTTTGGGAATGGGGTATGAGGATGAAATTTTTGGAATGCAGCATGAGGCTTGATCGTGGGATTTGAAAATGGGGGAAGGTGGTTGAGCTGGGGTCTAGAGAGAAGGAAGGACTAGATTATGAAATTCTAATCAGAATAAAAAGCGGAAAGGCCACGGAGCTAAGTGGAGGCTCAAATGGGCTTCTCACTCTAATATTTATTCTTATGAAAAATTGAAAAAAAAAACTTAAACATATATATTAAAGGTCATTTTAGGAATAATAGTGGGTTAGGAAATAGCATTTTAATTGTTTAAATTTTTGTAGTGTGTGAGATTATAATATGGGTAAAAAAAATAGGACAATAATCTAGCAGAACTCTTTGTAATTTTATATAGCAACAAAGTTATATATAACCTCAACTTTTCCAGTACATTAGAGACCGAATAAGTTAAATTTAAAGTCGTATCTCATTTTTAACTTTTTAGATTCATTAGAGATAATTAATTTAGCATCATATTTCCACTTTAACTTTTAACTTTTTCGATTTACTGGAGATAATTAAATTTTTTTCTTGAACTTAAAAAGGAAAATTCCTTTTGGGCCTCCAATTTTCATGGCCTCTAATTTTCGGAAACGCAATGTACTCATATTTTCCGAAGTAGAAAATGCATACAGTGACTGCTGAGTCCTACCTGAACACAAACTCGGAAACCCCCAGCAGAGTCCAAAAACACGACACCCCCTCTCTTCAGTAACTCAGTTCGACGATTTGATGAACCACGCAATCCGATTGGTACGATCCCTTTCTCACTCACTTTGAATTCCTTTAATCTTCTATGTAATCGGTTAATCAACGTTGTTAATCATGATTAACTCTCTGCAAACGTCTGCATGGATTTTGTATGCTTCGTGTTTGTAACGGAAATTATTTAGGGTTTTTGGTTTGATTTTCACTGCATGTCTCTTCATGGTGTACCGTAACTCTGGATGTTTTCGTTTCTGACTTTCTGTTATCGCCTGTTTGGTTGGCTAGAAAGATTTAGGCTAAAAGAATAAAAGATTTATTTTCAGATTCCATGTGTTCTCAATTATTCTTGTTATTTAAGTTCTAGAGTAAACGAAAAGGTGTGCAATCCTAAATTACGTAAAACAATATTTGATTCTGTGGTGAAGCTTATTCTGTTGGTGGTGTTCAAGGATACAAACTACCAGAGGTTAATTAAATTTAGTTCGTATTCCTTTTTTGATCAGTATTTTGTATTGGTTCTTTTGATATTTGTTCAATGTCTGGTTCAAATAATCAATTTATTTTGGTATATATTCAAGTAACCAATGAATTTAAAATAAGATAACATGTGTTACAGTATTATTCGGCATGTTATTGCGTAAGGTGTGGAAATTTGAGTGAAGCCACACAATGTGTCAATATTCCCTAGATCAAACCGCTTACCTTACTTGCCTCGGGTCCCTTTACTTAAGCAAAATGGAGGGTAACGTGCTGTTGTAAAGATATCTCATCCTTACTAGTCAAGATTCAAGTACTTTCAGTCAATAAAAGTAAATAGTTAGGAAATTAAAATACTTGGGTTAGGGCTCTATATCATTAGGGCAAGTTGATTGTGTTTTTTATTTTGATTAAAAGAATGTGCAGAATAGAATAGTGATTGAGGATTGTTTTTGGTATTAAGAGGGAACGGATCAATTTCGTCCGCTTTAGTATTCGGAAATTTTGTATGAACTTATGAGTACCGTGAAGCTTGAGTTTTATCTATGAAAATCGAATTTGTGTTTGGTTTCTTCCAATATGGATTTACCTTTGACTTAATTATGATGTTTAGAAGTATTAGGCAAAAGAGAAAGATCGTATAAATGCGTGACAAGAGAAATCAACGATGTAGCATTCAGCCCGTCTTTGTCTCAAACGGCTTTGCTTGTGTTTTTTAATGTCAGTTTACTGTGGTTAACCTCTAATCTTAACGGTTTTCTTACTTTTGAAGATTGATTGCAATTGAAGGAGAAGAAGATTTAGTTGAGAGTGCGATGGATCAAGAAAGGAGAACAAATAAGTTACTTGCAAACAAAAACAGCATTCTATACATGGACCTCAAGGACATCATTAGGAAGCATGCCCTTGAGTTTCTACCTGCTAAATCACTTCTCAGGTTCACTGGAGTTTGTAGGGACTGGAAGCTCGATATCAAAACTCCTTTCTTTGCCCACAAGCAGTCAAATAGTTTTCGTGGAATATCGGGATTCTTTTATCAATCCAATGCGGGCCCTCCTTCATTCATCTCTATCAATCCGAATGCATATGGTGTTCCAGACCCATCTCTGAAGTTCTTGCCCGAGCCAGTTGACATACGAGCTTCTTCGAATGGATTACTTTGCTGCCAGGGACGTGATGGCTATAAGGCCTACTACATTTGCAATCCTGTTACAAGGAAGTGGACAAAACTTCCCAAGCCAAACGCGGATCACGGACATGACCCTGCTATTGTTCTCATCTTTGAACCTTCTCTGCTCAATTTTGTGGCCGAGTACAAGCTCGTGTGTGCTTTTCCATCAGTTGATTTTGACAATGGATATGAATTCGAGATTTATTCCTCTAGGGAGGAGTCTTGGAGGGTTTCCGGTGAGATTTTTTTCGGCAAGAGCACTCTCTTGCCAAGATCCGGTGTTCATGTGAACGACATAGTTTATTGGCCGGCATTGAGTGGTCGGATTCTTGTTTTTGACCTGAAGATGGAGCGTGCGCAACAACTTAACAGAGGATATGGGACCCTTGGTATGATGGATGGAAAGCTTTGTTCTACGTATTCTCAACCTCCCACAGTAGTTGTACGAACGTTGTGTAACGCCTACACAAACACAATGGCGATGGGCAGCAATGTCAAGTCATGGGTAACGAAACATCAGATCAAACTGTCCGCTCCGATGTCATCTGGAACCGGTTATGGTCTAAAGTCTCGTAGTGTAGTGTTTGGCAATGGAAATGTGATCATGTTTCGGGGTGGCGGAAAAATGCATGTTTACGACATCAAGACTAAAGAAATTCAATGTGTTTGTGATGAACTTAATTCGAGTGGGAGGCTTGTTTCTCACGTGAACAGTCTTGTGGAGCTCTAGCTGGTGTGCAAGGCATGAAGAAGTTGGGTGGTTTTGTTTTGAACTAAATAGTAAATATGCTTTTCTTTTGGTCAATAATTCGTAAACTGCTTATTTCTAATTAGCTGTTTTTTTTTTTTTTTTTGAGCCAAAACATTTGCTTTTTATCCTTTTTTTTTAAAAATGATATTTTCGAGAATTTGGAATGTAATCTTCAAAATGTACTACACATTAACGTTCTATTTATTCGGTATATGTTATATAGTAAAACTTTCGTGAATCAAACACTAATTGACCTCACCACAACATTTCCTCCAGCTGAAGGCCAATCTTAGTCGTACATGTGTCACAGGAAGAGTCGGTGCAAATAATTGGCATCAGAGGGAACATTACACCACCTCAAAGTAGAATTCTCCCTCCTATTAAGGTCTGGTTTGGTACTAAGGTAATTCTGAAAAAAACTAATATAAAAAAAAGCTGGGAGCTATTTTTGTGTTTAGTAAACATTTAGCTTCAGCTTTTTTTTCACAGTTTTGGGTGAAAAAAAACCAAAAACAATAAGCTGCAAAACCCAACTTTGAAAAATTGGTTTTTTTTCACATCTGTTTTGACATAAAAGTTTACCAAACACTATAATACTGCTTTTTTTTTTCAAAAGCACTTTTACAAAAAAAGTTTACCAAATACTCTACTGCTTTATTTCACAGTTGCTTATTCTCACAACACAGCAAAAACAATTTTTTTTCAAAGTATAGCAATACCAAATCAGCCCTAAGTCTCTTCAGCTTTACTCTGTTTTTTCATTTTTCTCTATTTTTTATTTTTATAAAAATATTAAAAAAATATTAACGTGATTTAATTACGACCAAGAAAATAAAAAGAATCTTTGTCCCACGACCTCGTAAGCTGTGCTATGCTTTTAACTGCTCACAAGAGTCTCCCACTCTGTATAGACTTTTCAGTTTTTTGTCAAGCTCTGAGTCTCTCTCTACTTCGACGCAGCGTTTCGATCGCCGGTATGCTTCGCAGGCCTACGACGGCAGTCTCGGTAAGTTTATCGGTATATTTCATTCTTTACTTCTTCAACTTTTAGAATGAGAAACTTCTCTGTTTTTTATAGATTTTATATGGGTTTTCTGGAGAATATTGAATCTTTCAGGACGTGCATGAGTGGGGTCTTTCTGGGGTTTTTCCTATCATTTCTGATCGTTGATCTGCCTCTGTTTAATAGGTTTTGATTGATCGTTGATGGGTTCATTCGTATATGTTTGTTCTGGGTTTCTTGTTTAAATAGTAAGCTCTCTGTTTGTTTGTTCAATTTTATTGTTGTTATTTACCCTTTTTGATTTGTTTGGTTACTGAGAAACCCAGAGAAATTGAAGGAAAACTGGTATTTGAAGCCATTGTATTATGGATTTTGGATTTGATTTTTGAAAAAAAAAAGATTTATTCTTTGTTGGGTTTTGTTACTTTTTTCCATATTTCAAAACCCATGTTTAAATTTAGTTAATCAAGATATCAGAACACCTAATTGAAGTAATCAAACGAAGGCTTGGGGGGTTTTGTTGTGATCTGATAGTGTATATTTGGTTTGCTTTCTTTTGTGCCAAGCAACCATAATTGATTACCAGGGTTTAATCTAGCTGCTGTATTGTTTTCCTCTCGTTTGAAAGTTGTGATTTTTTATGTCTTGATGTTTGGGAAATTCAGTTATCTGCATTGAATGATTTTTCACTGTGCAGCTGTGAGCTTTGAGGATCCTATCATGGATAGCGATAAAGATGTTGGCAATGACTCTGACTCTTTTGTCATTGTGAGCAATGCCAATTCTGTGTGCAGTGATTCTGAAAGTGTCGTGGGTACTGATTCCGAAAATTATGTCATTGTGAGTCCTCAAAACAATGTAGCTACAGATTCCGGAGAAGATCTATTTGTTGGAAGCACACAACAGTCGAAGAATGTGGAAAAAGACGCGTATGTGTGTTCTGACTCTGACTCTGGTGAGAGCACTTATTCTGAAGAAGCGGATAATGCTAGTTATCTGAGTACCGATTCTGAAGTCTTTCTATTTGACGAAAGCGAACAGCAGTTGAAGAATGAGGATATGAGTACTGATTCTGTAGAAGAACTATCTGATGGATTCGGAAAACAGTTGAAGATTATGGATAATCAACATTACATGGATACTGTACTCCCTGGGAAACAGTTGAAGATGAGGCATTGTTCTTCTGAGGTATGCGATTGTTGACAGCTCAAAGGTTTGGTGTTGCTGTATTATTTATGGGATGTGTTTTCATTTATTTTATATTACTCTCATGCTGTTTTGATTAATTGATTTTGTATATGATATTACAATATCTATATATTTAATTTTTGCTGTCTGAAAGCTTGGATTCCAAACGCATTATTGGCTACTGCGTGTGTAACTAAATTAAGCAAGCTGTTATAAGATCCCTGTACACGACAATTTTATTTCCCCCTTTTTACGTTGTTTTGACGATGAATTGGAGGCGTTGGCATTGTTCATGTGATTAAATATTATCTTTAATTTTTTTTTTCTCTGACATGCATCCTAATGATTATCTTTATATGCAGTTTCACACATATCCATGCAAAAGAATCCGTCGTGCACATGATTGTTCTGAACTTCCCCGTGACGAAAGGCTTTATAATAAGAAAATGGACATCAGTGATGTTGCAATGGAGAATGTTCTTCCTTTCCTCCCTGCGAAAATGCTGTGCAGGTTGAGAACTGTTAGCAAACTGTGGGATAAGTGGATTTTTAGTCCTTTCTTCAGTCACAAGCAAACTTACTACTTCAGGGAAATCTCTGGGCTTTTTTGTCAAGCCCCCGGTGGAAACCCTTACTTCCTCTCACTTGATAATGATGCTTACGGCATTCCCAGATCTTACCTCAGCTTCTTGCCCGAACCAGTTACAGTAAAGGCCACTTGCAATGGTCTGGTTTGCTGCCAGAGCGAAGACAGAGAAGATACCTACTACATTTGCAACCCTGTGAACATGAGATTTAGAAAGCTTCCCAAGTCAGGTTTCTATCATGGGCCTGAGTCTTACGCGGCACTAGCCTTTGAGCCTTCTGTGCTTGACTTTGAAGTGTGTTTTCAACTTGTATGTGCCTTCTCTGTACCTGGTCATCCAGGTGTCCATTTTGATATGTACTCTTCAAGGTCAAGTGGTTGGGAACTCGCTGAGACAGTATGCTATGAACTGGAGACTACGGAGTTGGAAGGTTATACCCTCTATCTAAAGGGTGTACTCTTTTGGGAAACTTTAACTGGGGTCATTTTGGCTTTCGATGTGAAGGAGCAGCAATATGGTATTCTGCCACTCCCCTTCAGCACAGGACCACGCGGTGTTATTTCACAGATGAATGGAGAGCTGTGTTACATTTTGCCTCGTGTTGAATTCGGTCAGTTCTCCTTGGAGATTTACGGTAATATGGACATGAGCCTGAAGCAGAAAATTTATCTCGTCGGCCAGATTTTCACCTCTTTTGTGGACACAGTTAGGTTATTGGCTTGTGTGAATGATGATGTGATGCTAATTCTTGTCGGACAGAGGGTGATCGCGTATGGTGTGAAAGCCGGGGAGGAAAAAGTTTTGAAAATACTTGACTACGGCCTTGGTGCTGGTAATGAAAGGTATCTTCCATATGTGAACAGCCTTGTGCAGATCTAGTTCTCTCTGCCTTCCATTTTATTAGGTGGTTTATGTTTTGAACAAATTGGTTTGAAGTTTCTCTTGTCCATGGCTATGTAATTTGCCTTTGAGTTAGTACTCTAAAAGTACCTATTTCTCGTTGGCTTCTTGTAGACCTGGTGCCTTGATACATAAGTGCTTTTGTCAGATGGCGCTTTTGCTACCTCAAATGATAGTGTTTATAAATAATATGGTGCTTGATAATAAGCCCTGGTAATTTGGCAGTTCAGTTTTTGCTTCTCAAACAATCATTCTTTTTCTTTCTGTGTGCATAAAATGGCTTATATTCCAAGTGCTTTATGTGAAATTTCTTAAGAAATAAAAGCAGCGATGGAAACTCCCTACAAATTCGTAAGTAGCTAACCGGAAATTCTGTTTCTATTCTTATGTGGATTTTGTCACCGAAGGACAGAATATTTGAATTTGGGACATTTTCTGACATTGTTGTACAAGACATGCCACGTGACATAAATGCATTCCAGGAAGTCCTTTTCCAGCCTTAGATTAGCGTGTGGGCTCCAACCTAACACAAATAATTGGAATTACGTAAACATGGTGCTAAGAGCGGCTCACCCTATTCAGTGAAAATTAACACACCCAAAATTCAGAAATAATTAATCAACTCCACCCGGTGGCGGATGCACATTAGGATCAAGGTACAATTAGGAGTTCGAAAAATATACATGTGAAAATCTTCAGAATGTTTGATACAAGTGTGACAATATGCCTCTCGCAGGTTGCGTCGACAACACTTGACAAATTCTCTCAATAGGACTCATCAGATTGCTTCGGATTTTTCAATATCTTTTTACTTGTGTGCAACTTAGTTTGGCTGATGACAACAAATCCACCAAGTGTTCGACGAAATGCCTCAATAAGTAAATTAATTTATTTTTTTTGCACACTACACGCTCTATTTCTATCTATAAAACTTGGACTTTAACACTATGATCCTCTCAAAATTCGAATCTTAGATCTGCCACCTGACTCCACCTCCAAAAAGGCTTAAAAGAAAAAGAAAGTATAGCTCACCTTACGAAATTCCTAGTTTAATGGAAAAAATTGAGCCATGCAGTATGAGCTAATCGTTTAATCAATCATTAAAAAGGGTTCAAAATTAAAATATATTCCGATGTTGGTAAAAACTATTGAATGACGAAAAAAGGATTTTCACACTTCTTTTTAACCGTTAGCAATCTAAACATTATATTTTATTGTATTTTTGTTTCGGCGGTACACAAAACAAAGTGATATATGAAGTGTTGTTCGCACATTTCTTTTTAACTTCCACACAAGTTTGTAAATTTTTGTTCATTAATTATCTTCAATTTAGTCGATCGACGATTGAAAATTAAAATATGTGTATAAGAGGTAAAAATAAATGTGTGTGAGACGTAATGTTGAAATCATTTGTTAGTGGAGCACAAAGCACGTTTGTGCATTTCAATTTTGTTGATTTTGGAGTGGGAAGAACAAAAGCACAACAAGACAAAAACTGAACAATGGAATCCAACAATGAATTTTCCTTTTTCTTTTAATTTCTAGGAAAAACCGAAAACAAAAAGAGAGACGATAACCATCAGATAGATTCGGATGACGCAATTCTGATGACGTGGTTCTGATGACGCAGTGTTAATGAAGTACAATTTTAGTTAGCCAATCTGAGGCCAACACGTGTTCAAACACCATCGGGCTTTCTCTGTTTTACGAGGGTTTATTTGTTTTTTTTTTCTTTACTCTGTGTTGAATTGCTTTGAGAGGTGTATTCAACTAGAAACTTAAGAGATTTTAACGAATTTATAAATTTATAGATTTTTATAGAGTTTAATTGATTTATGAATATTTTATATAAAATTTTGATTAATTTCCTCGAAATCTCATGAGAAGATGTGAGATTTGTGGATAGTTAAAATGCAATACAAAATCTCTCTAATTCCTCAACTTTTTCAAATTCTTTAAAATCAATTTCTAATTAAATATACCTGAAATATTATAAACTTATTTAAAATCCTAATTAAATACAACCGGATTTATAAGAATTTTAATAAACTATCTTAAAATCTTGATTGCATATATATAATTACTTAAAATCTTGATTGAATACCATTAGATTCATTGAAAGAATTAAAATCCTTCAAAATCTCAATTGAATATATCCCCTTAGTTACTGAGAAAGTAAGGAAAATGCAAGAAAAATGGGTATGATTGTGACTTTTGAGGACAATGAGGGTTTTGTCATCATTGATGAATGCAATTTTGATTGTTCTGGAGAAGTTGAACTTTTTTATGAATGTGGACAAGAAGAGTTTATGCATGATCCATCTCCTGACCATGTGGTGAAAGTTGAGGTTGGCTGCGGCTACGATGCGGTTTGTCGCTAGTTGATTAATTGTTTTTATTTTTGGAACATTCATGTTTAATACATTACATTAATTTGGAGCCTATACATTTGCTTCATTTTTATGTGAATACAATTGTAAAACTTTGTTCTTGCAGTAGAGGGTTACCGGATTTCATTTTCCTCACTTTGTTGGTTTAATGATGAACAGGCTTTGCCATTGTTCAACTTTTATCTATTTAGGCATCTTTCTAATGCGTTATATCTAGATATCGCAACAAAAGGATTGCTCTAGTACATGAAGCTTGGGAATATCCTGGACACAAAAGGCTCAAGCATACTGTGGAGATCAAAGATGTTACGGAGCATGCTCTTCCATTCCTCCCTGCAAAAACACTCTCCCGGTTCAGAGCTGTTGGAAAATAGTGGGATGACCTGATTACCAGTCTTTTCTTAATGCACTGGTGCACAAGCAAGCTTACCATTTCCGCGACATCTCTGGTCTTTTTTGTCAACTTCCTGGCAAGCCTTTCTTTGTATCTCTTAACCGTGATTATGGCGTTCCCAGTCATTTCCTCAGCTTCTTGCCCGAACAAGTCGCTGTCAGAACCATTTGCAATGGTCTGCCTTGCTGCCAAAGTTGTGATGGAGAGAACACCTACTACATTTGCAACCCCGCTACCAAGGAACGGAGGGCGTTTCCCAAGTCGAACTTCTTTCACGGCCCTAAACCTTCCCTAGCTCTAGCCTTTGAGCCTTCTGTGCTTAATTTTGCATAACAATTCTAACTCGTTTACGCCTTCTCTCTAACTGACCATCCGTTTATCTGTTTTGAGATCTACCTATCCTCATGGAGACTTGTTGATGCAGAATGCTGTGAGCTGGATGCTCTGAAGTTGAATGGCGACGGGCTCTTTCTAAAGGGTGTAGCCTTTTGGGAAACTTCTGCTAGAGCGGCTTTAGCTTTTGGTTTGAATGACGAGCAGTATGGTATTCTGTCACTTTGTATTGACAGAGATGAATGGTGGGCTGTGTTACCTTCTGACTTGAGAAGAAGAGTATGCATACACCCTGGACATCTATGGTGACCAGGATATGAGTCTGAAGCATCTGATTGCTCTTGGTCTTGAGTTCTTCAACAATTTTAACAAGGAGTTGATGGCATTGTCTTGCGTGAACAATGACGTGGTGATATTCGATTTTGGAGGATACTGTATGCTTATATTCTGAAGACAAGGAAGGCTGAAATTCTAAGAAGTAGTGACTGGATTGATGATGATGGTTATGTAAGGTATCTTCCTTACATGAACAACCTTGTGCACATTCGTCCTTTATACATGAGCAGCATACTTTCTGTGGATCTTGGTGCCAAGCTATCTAGCTAAAGCTTCTTTCGACATCCTTAAAAAACAGGCGTGGTGTTGTGAATTAGTTGTTTTTTGTTCTCTGTTTTCCCACCTTCCACTCTTTCAGATTGGGTTTTTTATTTTAGGATTTGATGATTTTTTGCAAGTTCAACTTTGAACTTGTTTTCAAACTCGTTTAGAAGTTCTTAGTTGAAATTTGTTCAAGGTCATAATGTTTAGTTTCTTGAACCACAAGTTATAATGTTCAGTTTCTTGGACCACAAGTCATAATGTTTGTTCAGGGGGTTTTGACTGTCGGTATGATATGCAGAGATCATGGAAACATCATTTGACAATCGTGGACTGTGGGATCACCATTTTGAATGTTGAATGTTGAATTTCTCTTTTTAGTCAGAGGTCCCTTGAATGCTGAATCTTTTCATTTCTTAATCATCAAATTGAAACAATTTGCAGTGTTTCTTGTCTCTTTTAATTCTCAAAGTACAACAACAACCAAGATTCATATCAGAAACAAAAGAAATGGTGGAAAATTGTTTAGTCGACATACATTAGAATGAATCACATTTTCCAATTTTTTCTCCGTTGAGCATTTTTCCATCATCGTCATCCTTATAGTTTTTTTCTTTCCCATCTAGTGGGATGGAAAAATGCTCAACGAATACAAAATAAACCCATTTGTCTTATAAGTAGAAAATAATGCATAAGTGCAAGAACCGAATTTTTACCGTGGTGTAAGAGGGGATGATTGAGGTGGTGAGCAGGTACGAAATAATGGATGTATGCCCTATACAGACACAGTACCTACAAGTTACTATTCTTGGTACCATTTTATGTTATTAAGTTGGTTGATGTGAGTTATAACAAGTGTGAAGAGAAGCGTCCTAGGTGGAGGAGATGGCTAAATTTGAAGGAAATATTTGTTGGCTGTGAGGCAAGAATGTAAAGAAAATAAAAATGTGGGGGATTACAGCGAGGTGCCAAAGTAGGAGAGAAGAACTGGTAAAAGAAATAACAAACAGAATGCTAAGTTAGGGCTGGCCAACACAGAAAGATAGGTTTAGAGAGAGAGCTAAGGGGTTGGTCCCTCCTTTGTAGGAGGCCATAATGCCATGGCAATCATACCTTGTTTCTCTTTCCTTTGAGAACCCTCTCCTACCTTCTTTCATTGATTACCAGGTACCACCTTATTTTGTTTTTCGACCCCCTAATTTCCAGACAGATCTTATGCATCTTTTCTCCAATAATATCCGATTTTGAAATTTCGGAAAATTCTTTTTCAATCTAATTAAACGTAAAAAGTACGTACATATTAGATCATAGGATCTAAATCCTAGAGGGAGATCAATACTAATGTTGTTATTACTTGGTATCACGTGTACATGTACATTTGTTTAACGTTACACATTTGCAATTTCTCTCTTCTTCTATTACATGCGTCTACATGGTTGCATGCGTCGTGAGGTATATACGTTGATCTTACAAAACCCTAATGTTGTTTCGTTCAAAAATTGTTTAATTTGATAATGGTTTAGGGGTCTTCAACCATTGCGACGAGCAGTTGCGGGAGAGGTGAAGTTTCCAGCCACCACAACATACATATCTTTGGGAAAGTAGTCTTTGGCCGGAGGTTGATCAAGAGACGAATAATGTCTTCTGACAATGCTCCGTCCCCAGACTCCTCATCCGCTTCACCACCTGCACCGGACTCGTCCAAATCATCACCATCTGGTCCATCTCCAAAGGAATCCCCAAAGGAGTCATCTTCAGAGCCACCACCCTCCTCGCCACCACCATCATCACCACCACCGTCCTCGCCGCCGCCATCTTCACCACCACCGTCCTCGCCGCCACCATCTTCACCACCGCCTCCAAATGACTCATCTTCACCATCATCGCCACCTCCCAAGGACTCATCTTCATCATCATCGCCACCTCCACCCAAGAAGGAGTCACAGTCTCCACCTGCACCACAGCAGGCGACCCCATCTCCACCTCATGCTAGGGAACCACCGGGAAAGGCACAGCCAGCACAGAAGACACCAGAGGCAAATACTGGAGGTGAGACTTTCAGAGCGCCTCCTCCTCCAGGGCGTTCTCGGACTTCTCCCTCTGGTGCACTCACGCCATCACGTGGTAGTAGTTCCTCATCAAAAGATAGTTCTGATGATGACGGCACATCATCATCATATAGAGGTAGGATAGCGGGAGTTGCGATTGGGGCGGCGGTAATTATAATTGTCTTGCTCGTTGTTTGTGTGGTTTGCATTAGGAAGAAGAGGAGAAAGCGCCGTGATATGCAGTACTATGGAGATCCTGCTAAAGGTACCAAACCCTAACGCTAAATAATTAATTTCCATAAAAGACTACGAGGACCTTATTCATCACCCATATGCATTAAATATCCATGCACAACATTCATTAATTTGTTTTTTTTTTTCTCCTTTTTTGCGCTAGCAGCATTCATTCTCTGGCTACTGCTAGAAGTACCTCATTTTCATAGCACATTAGTTGAACACATGATATGATCGTGATCTAAAATCTGATTCTTTTAGGATTGTTTTAAATTTGTTTGATGTGTTTTAACCTCATTATTCTATAAAATTGAAACCATGTTCATGTCTTTTCCTAATCAAAGAGTTTGGACATATATGGAAAACAATTGGATTAGTTGAACTACATATCGTAGAGTAGGCAATAGACTTATTGACTTGTTCATACAAAAAAATGAAAACAACTTTATATGTGCGTAGCTGGTGGTGGCTATTACAACACTCAACAACAAAATTGGCACGATATAAATAATCCACAAGGAGACCATGTGATGAGGCTAAACAACCAATCGCCTGGTAGTGGTGGTGGTGGTGGTCCTTGGCCTTCACCACCGCCTCAAATGCCGCTGAGCGGTGAAGTGACCACCAATTATTCAGCAGCTCGGGGACCCCCATTACCAGCCCTCTCACCAACAATGTCACTTGGGTTCAACAAGAGCACCTTCACTTATGATGAGCTAGCAGCCGCCACTAATGGGTTTAATGAGGCCAATTTGTTGGGTCAGGGTGGTTTCGGGTATGTGCACAAAGGTGTTTTGCCCAATGGAAAAGTAGTTGCAGTGAAAAGTCTCAAGTCGGGCAGTGGGCAAGGAGAACGAGAATTCGCGGCAGAGGTGGAGATCATTAGTCGAGTCCATCATCGGCATCTTGTGTCACTGGTTGGATATTGTATTGCTGGTGGGCAGAGAATGCTTGTCTATGAATTTGTTCCCAACAAAACCATGGAATATCACTTGCACGGTGAGTTTTGTATGCACTTAACATATTCTCCTCTGTCACACGAGTATTTGATACATTGTCGATATTCTATTGATATCACAAAATGTCAACAAATGACAACACATCATTAACAATAAAAATATAGACCGATACTATCTCAAACACTCTTGTTGATCGTCTCTCTCTTAATAAAAGGTAAAAAGAGAGAGGCGGTCAACAAAGTAATCGTCAAGTTTTGTCTCAATAGTTGTGTATTGGTTGATTTTTTGAGCTATTGTTTAAATTTTGGGTTGCAGGAAAGGGTCTTCCACCTATGGATTGGCCAACTAGGCTTCGGATTGCAGTTGGGTCTGCTAAAGGGCTTGCATACCTTCACGAAGATTGTAAGAAAGTCGCAGCCGCTATATCTATTTATTTCCCCTATTTACTTATTTTTCTCTCTTTTTCACACTTAAAAATCTTATTATTACTAATTCATTGGAAATAAATTGAAACCAGGCCACCCAAAAATCATCCATCGTGATATCAAATCAGCTAACATTCTCATTGATAACAACTTCGAAGCCATGGTATAGTCCCTGAGATGTTTATAATTTGTATACCAAAATCATTCAAACATTTTAAACATCCTTTTAATCTGTTCATTTTTTTCTTTTCTTTTAGGTTGCTGATTTTGGGTTGGCTAAGCTGTCTTCTGACAATTATACCCACGTCTCAACACGAGTCATGGGAACTTTCGGGTAGTTCATATAGCTTCTGTATTACATAAGTTTTACTCCTACACTCGAGACCTAAGTTCGAATATTCATTATGACAGATAAGAAAATGAAGATAATATATACTGCAATTAAATTAAAACTAGATGAAGCAATTTTATAGATAGCTTGCAATGCAAGCAATAATATGATCTGTGAAATTCTAACTCAATCTCTTCCTAATTACTAGTGGGCTGGTCCAATTAATAACTCTAATTTTGGTTTTGCATATGAATAATGCAGATATTTAGCTCCAGAATATGCATCAAGTGGAAAATTGACAGAAAAGTCTGATGTTTTCTCATTTGGGGTCATGCTCCTGGAACTCATAACTGGAAGGAAACCAGTGGATCCTTCAAATGCAATGGACGACAGCTTGGTTGACTGGGTTAGTACTTGCTCTATTCTTTCCAAATTTGGATCATGTATTGTAAATTAAGCATATTTAGAGTATTATATATCACTAAGGTTTTACTGATTTGTGCCAAATGTGACATAAATGTACAGGCTCGACCACTTCTCACTCGTTCATTAGAGGATGGTAATTACACGGAGCTAGTAGACATCGGTTTGGACAATAATTACAACCCTCAGGAGATGGCACGCATGGTCGCCTGTGCGGCTGCAAGTATCCGTCACTCTGCTAAAAAGCGCCCAAAGATGAGTCAGGTATACATATCTAATAAAATGCTATGTTGTCATAGATATTGATGTGGGCTCGATGTTTGAAGAAAATTTCATCCTAACCGTTGTTTGAGACCTACAGTTTGATAACATAACACTTTGTGTTGTGAACAAAACAGATAGTACGTGCACTAGAAGGAGAAGTGTCGCTGGACAACCTAAATGAGGGGACAAAACCCGGGCAGAGCTCTATGTTCAACGCCGGTGGAGGAAGCTCGGACTATGATACGCAAGCGTACAATGCTGACATGAAGAAGTTCAGAAAGTTAGCCCTTTCAAGTCAGGAATTAGGGAGCAGTGACTACGGGACTTCAAGTAATGACTCCAGAGAAATGAGCACACCCAAGAAATGAGTAACTTTGAGCCCTCATCCTCTACAACAATACTGAATTAAGAGGACACAAAATTCACAGTACAGGAAAACTGTAAAAAAGAAAGCAATTGATGATGATCATATATGCATGCATGCAACGTGATTACTGTTTCTAATTTGTCATTGAACTTTGTGATAAAGCTGAAAAATGTGAGATTAATTGAAGATTTGGAGTGCCATTGATCGGCCGCGGGGCGATTTGCTTTGGTTAATTGTGTACTTTGTGGGGTAATTGAGATGACCCAGATGTTAATTAGCTTAATTAACTTTGATCTTTCTCTGATAAATGGATTTGTACTATACCCGTACAAATACGTTCGACTTGGAAGATATATTGTCTGTATTGTTATAAATTGCATTGAATGTTGGATTTTTTATTTTCAATAAAATTAGTTGTATCACGCATTATAAATCTTTTCATGTTATCATTCAGAAGAGTAGTGCGCACCTCCTTGCAAATCAAAAATTAGGATCAGAAAAGGGTTTAATTAATATACTTTTGATCTCTGTGTTTTAAATTTCACTAGTTCACTCTAGGCAAATTATGTTTATCCTGATCAAAATCATTTGCACTATCTATATTAAGGAAATTTTCATTCTCAAAATAGAGGATCTAATGCTAATGTTTTCATCTTAATTTTAAACAAGTTAAACAAATCTACTCTCTTGCTGGCTCGTTTGATGATATTCATGCTTGGGCGTATTCTTCAAGAAGCGAATTTTGTGACCGGAGCAATTGCAGCTAAAGATCTTGTCACCCATGATTTGCTATCTGAATTAATGTTTTGCCTAAAAAAGCCTCGTTTGCCTAACAAATTGGATTGTTTAATGGAAGTTGATGTCGTGCGTTCTTCTTGTAATTTCTTGGCATTTTTCATGCTGAGCTTTGGGATCTTTTCATGGTCTTAATATTGTCAAATATTAATTGTTTGGTTATCTTATGGTTAGGAGGTTCATTTCATTGGTTTAGGTAGATTTTTCTCATGAGTGCAACTCCTTCATGAATGGAAGTTGGCACAATTCTAACGTTGAGTGCGTTCCTGGCCCTTACTCATTTCCAGTAACCGATCGAGTTTCTTCGCCCCTCTCCTGTTTTTTGATTAGGGCGAGTCACTCAAGTCCCTCTTTTACAAAAATTCTGGGATTTATGCATTTTTCGGAAAACTAAAGTCAATCACAAGTTGTACTGTTCTAATGCTCACATTAATTTTGAGAAATGTTATGGCTCATCCGTTAGCTGATTAAATTAATAACATGCTTCCAATTATGAATCATTCATGTGTTTATTAACTATAGAATAATCAAAATATAAATGTTTTCGATACAAAATAAGGAATTAAACTTATGATTTTGGAGGAATTAGACTATTTGAGGGAGTTGGTATTTTGATTTATAAAGAACAAGGAATTATGAATTTTATTATTTTACCCATTCTGCCCTTGTATTATTTCTTAATTTTTTGTCCATTTACTTTGATCTAACATCTGATAGAGCATCTTAATAATCAATCTGGTTTTCATTTGACAATGGTGAATCAATAAAAGAGCTTATATGAAGGGGAACTATTACGAGTGATAATTTGGCTTCAGATGAATATTGCCTCCTCCACAAAGCCCCTTCAAACACATACCTTTTTAAATTTTATTGGAAACCTGAGGGTTGGGTAAAGCTTAATCTTGATGGGTGTCCCAAGGAAATGGCTAATTTCATTGGTGTTGGTGCTGTCGAGGTGAGATTCTATGGGATGAAGTTTAGGGTCTTTTTATCGGGCTTTAAGTTGCGTGGAATAATGAAATTAAGAAGATTATGATGGATGAGATTTTGCACTTGCACTACAATTGATTTTAAATGCAAAAATGGATAATCACCCTATAGGAAGTTCAGTATTAAAATGTTGTGCTCTTAAGCACCAAAGTTGGTATTGTAAAATTTGACATATTTGTTGTAAAAAGAATTTTGTTGCTGATAATTTGGTTCATTTGGATTTGTCAGCTTTGGATTTTTTGGGCTTTGTCACTTCCGTAACCCCAAAAACAAGGAAGGAGAAAAAACTACCGGGAAAATTACCCTTTCCTTTTGGCCGACTTTGGCTTCTATAAACCAACAAGTATCTCATATCCGTTTATCGTATATTTTGCGGTGAGTTTTATAGTACTGTTTATGTTTAATTTAAAATAATTTATAACCGTACGATGTACGATAAACGGACAAGATTGACGGATTCCAAAATCCTCACAAAAAGGATCCGGATTCTTCTATAAATACCCTCGCGAAAACCTTCTACCCAGAAAAGAGGAAAAAAACCCTTCGCTGCCGCTATCGGGACCCTTCGCTGCCGCTATCGGCCCTTCACTAGTCCGAATCCGACCGATTGCCTCAACGGGATTCATATAGTTATGCAATCTTCACCATCTGGGTACGATTACTCTGACTGTCTGATATACTCCTAATCCAGCTCCTATCAATTCGCCATGGGAGACTTCATCAACGATGCCTTCATGCGCGGCCAAAACGCCGCCGTTCAGAGCCGACCCAAGGCCCACAACCGCCCAAATGTTGTTCAGCTCAAAATGGTTAGTCCTTAATTAGGGTTTCTTCTACTTATTCGTGCAGGTTTAAGGTTCCTTTTTTCGTATTTTTTTAAGCCTGAGTTTTTCTTTGTTCTATTCTTTTAAAATTAATTTGACGAAAATACCCTTCACTTATCTCGGTCAACAATACAATTAACATTGCTGAAATATACCACTTGGTATTAGGATTACGGTAAACGAGATATTTTGAGTTCCATTTTTGTCAAAAGCAAATTTGAACTGCGTTATTGCTAACTCATTATGAAGCTAAACTCATATCTCTTATCTTAGTGTGAAAATATCAATTATTCAAATAAAAAACATTACCAACAACAAGTCACTTTATGCTACAGTTTAATGATATTTCATTTACGGTCGATTATCGATAAATTGCTGACATCCCAGCTCATTATTGTCAATAATATCATTTGTTAAAAAAAATATTATCAACAATAATTAATAAATGTCATTTCCTTTCCACCCCGAATATTGTAATTACCCGGAAGGACAAAATCTCACACAATTTGTGGGTCTATAAATTTTCCCTGCCGCCATCTGGCTTCGCCAGGCCGACTCCGACTCCGGCCCGACTGTCACAACCGGATTCGAATCGCCCATATATTTATGCATTCTTCACCATCTGAGTACGAGTACTCGGACTGCTCCAGATACCGTCACCCAGCTCCGATCATCGCTTCTCCATGGGAGACTTCAACAACGATGCTTTCATGCGCGGCCAAAACACCGCCGTTCAGGGCCGAACCAAGGCCCAGAACCGCCAAAATGTTCTTCAGCTCAAGATGGTTCGTCCTAGGGTTTTTATGCTCTTCATGACAACTTTTGTTAAAGCTTGACTGTTTAATTCTTGAATTTCTTGGTTAATTATGCGGTTTTCTTTGTTTTTAGAAAAAACCCTTGTTAAGTTTTGAATTTCTCTCTGTAAATTTATCTTGATTTAACGAATTTCGATGTATCTGGACAATGTGTGCGGTTATTTTGTAAATATTGTGAAGTTCTGGATGTATTTTGTAAGGGATGTTGATTTGGAGATTTTGTGTTTGCAGATTGGGCAGAGCCACCCCACTGGTCTAACAACAAACCTTTTGAAGCTGTTTGAGCCTAGACCGCCGTTGGATTTCAAACCGCCTCCGGAGAAGAAAAAGTGCCCACCTTTGACAGGTCTGTTAACAATCTTATATGGGGATTGATTGGTTTCAATTTGCTGTTAGTTTCTATGTTGTTGCTGTTAATTTTTGTACTAGTAGTTATTAATTTTGTTGTTGTGCTTTATGAAGGGGTAGCGCAATTTGTGAGTAAGTTTGCGGAGCCCGGAGATCCTGAGTATAATCTGCCTATCAAAAAGGGTGAAACTCCTGTAAGATTTTTACTTGAATTGCTTGGATGAGGACTCAGCATTATGAAATCATTGTTTGTACTGCAACATATATCTGTTTTTCTTTGTTGGATTCAGACACAAAGAAGGGCTCGAATACACCAGTTAAGACTTGAGAAGGGTGCAGTAAAGGCTGCGGAAGAGCTAGAGAAATGTAATGACGTCATTCTTTACTTGATTGTAGGGTTTGGAGTCTTGTAATTTCTGTTTTCTTGTCTTCCTAAAATCTGTTTCGGTGCAGATGATCCAAATAATGACCCGAGTATTTCTGGAGATCCATACAAGACTTTGTTTGTTGCTAGACTCGTAAGTAACATTTTTTTCATATTGTATTGGATTTCCTCCTCCTATTCTTCGTAATCGTTAAGGTTGACTTGTCATTTTCCATGCATGCTTGCAGAATTACGAGACAACTGAGAGCAGAATCAAAAGGGAGTTTGATGTTTATGGTCCAATCAAGCGGGTAGGTATTTTTTGAGAAACCCCAAGGGGGTTTGGTAAGAGGTTTTTGTAGCTTTATTCTTTTATTTCCCTATACAAATTGCAGATTTTCTAATATTGAATTTGAAAAAAAAGGCTACAGTCTCAGCATTGTCGGTATTGTTATCCTTTTTCGTTTTCTTCAAAAAAATGTCTGGGTTACATATTTACAAATTTTATGCATGATAAACTGATTTTGAAAATTCACCTTTCAGCAAACTTGTTCGACATAATGCATTGTTTTTTTGTCATAACGATAACTGGAAATGCATTATGACGCCTTTCAAGTTTGTTCTCTCTGATTTAGTTTTATTGTTAGTGGAGTCTATGCAAATTTGTATTACTATTACAGGTGTCTCAGCAAATTTACCAGTAATGTCTTACGGGGTTATTTATATCCTTCCATAGCTCTCTTTTGAAGTAGTTTTTATAGAGATCTTAGAATTGGGTGTTTCTAGGGTATACATTAGCATTTTTTTAGTGGGTGAACTACCAATTTAGTCCTTGAATTATCACCTAAGTGAAAATTAGTTCCCTAAATTTTTTTTTTCAGAAAAATCAGTCCTTGAATTATAAAAATCTGCCAATTACATCCCTAATATTAAATTTGAAGCTACTATATTCAATTTTACGTTAATTTAAGTCACGTTACTTGCATGTGATACACATTGGACGGGTAGATTGGTAAATTTTCATAAAGAAATAATGTATGGTGTTAACTTTGGAGGGTAAATTGGACGTTAGATTCACAACCTATATGAAATGTTAAGGGCTTATAGGCGAGAAAAAGATGGTCTTACACTCTTAAAGTGTCACGTGACTTAAGTTGTTGAAAAATTGGATAAAATAGCTTTGAATATAATAGTAGGGATGAAATTAGCAATTTTTA